GCTATTAATGGAGTCCTTGTTAGCACGGAGTGGTCACTTTGAAGATCAGATGCACTTCTGGTGGACACAGGGCCYTCTGTGCTGCACAGAGGCTTTTGAGGTCCTTGGGATTTTTATAATTGCAAAATTAGACTTCACAAGGAGGCATCAGTAAATTCAGAACTGCGTGAACTCTTCTTGGTGCTTTCCTGAGACACAAATGCACTCCCAGTCCCAGATACAAACATCWTTCCTCCAGAAAGCAGAAGTGCTGCTGCAGAGGGAACATCTGTAGATTAAAGTAACTCAAATGTAGGATTTGGGAGACCACGTTYTTCCATTGCTGGAATTGTATCATTAGGATTAATGCTCAAAACTCTGGTTTGATCTTGCAGTCAGCTCCTCTGCCTTSTTCTCCATGTCAGCTCCCTGTCCCCATCCCTGCAGCCTTTATGGTCTCCTCTTCTGTCTCTGCTTTAGTATCCATTCCACTTTTGAAAGTGTTAGATTGTGCCTCTCTTGTGCATTTCTACCCATTTCAGAAACAGCATATTGGCTGGATGGAGTCTTTTCCACCCAAATTGAATTCAAAAGTGAATGGCAAAGGTTTTTCTGGAATAGATTCATAGTTATTTTACTCAAGGGTAGCTAGTTGGTGTATTTTTGTGAATTGTACTTTAAATTCCAGGTCACATAAACTACTTAGGTGAATTTACTGCCCACCAGGGGAATATTTAATAAAAAGGCTTTGTTATTTAGAAATAAGAGGCAGATTTTCCACTGCCTCTTGGTTTTTGAAACTTAAAAAGAAAGTTCTCTTGGCTGAGAGTGTTGCTTTAATTCAGGACAGGGTGGAAGCTGCTGTAGATTGCTTTCATTGATTGTGATCACTGCTTGAATTGGCAGAGCAGGAAGTGTTATGATGATGAGAACTTGTCTTATTGTTGTGATAAGCTGTTACCAAAGTCTAATTACTGTGTGTGATGCTCAAATGTGTAAGCTGCCGACACTTAAAGATAAGGAGATGAAAAGAAACCAACTCATTCCAAATTGCKCTTCTGTTTGGTTTTTTATCATTATTATTGTTATTTTTGTGCACTCTCCTGAGTGGTGCTTCAGAGTGTGTGGATTAAGTCATGGATTTGGCTGCAGATGCTGCCATCAAACTTCAGCTGTGGTTAAGTAAGTTTGAAGCACCAAGGGACTGAATAAAATGAGRGTTAGTGAAAAGCGATGACAAGGGATTCAGTTAATGGTATGTGCATCTGCTGAGTGAATGTGTTGTTATTAGCTATTAATTCAGGCAGGATCCAAATGGGCTGGAGAAGAGGGTAAAGCTCAGAGGCCGAGTTCCCACAGGGATCTGGCGTGGGGAAGCGCCGTTCCTGCCAYGCTGGCTGCTCCAAAACTGACATTTCCACACAGAAGTGGAGGGTTTGCTGCAGTCCTGTGCTGGAATCTCCCCTGTCTGGGAGTGAAAGGCTGCTCCTTCTCAGCTCAGAGACATCCTGTCGGGGTCAGAGTCCTCACAGGTTGTGCAGAGCTTCACCTGAGCTCAGCACCCCGGGGAGTCCTGCCCTGACTACTGTGCTGACTCCAGAAAATGTTTTGGGATCCTCTGGGATGGCAGATGCTTGTGTATGCACATGTAACATGCTGTTAATAATTAGAGCTGATTGGATATTCAGTACAAATTACACTGGCTATGAAGTTAGCCCCTTCTTTAGGCTCACAAGTGGCTCACAAAACACTGTTAAAGCCCATTTTCAAATGTATGTGTTTTCATAAACATTGATAGATCTAATTTGAACAAATAATGTCAAGTCTGAGTGTTGTAAAACTCTCGCTGGGCTGTTCACTGTCAGTTGTTAATGGAGCATGTTTGGATTTCTGAGTCACAGGGTAAATATTTTCTGTTTCCAATTTTAAGGATGAAACATGAGGTCTGATGATTATTTTTACCAGTCCCCCCCAAAARTGTGTCTGCTCCCACACCCAGGCCCACACGCCATGTCTTTAAAAATAACTGCTTGGAGAAGAGGAAGGGGGCTGACTACATCCAGCTAATCTGAGGAAAAGATAGCATTTCCATTTTCTCTCCTTCTCCATGTCACATGGAAGCTGGGCTGGAGCATTCTTTTGAAGATTTTCATCATGAGCTTGATTTTCATCATGAGCTTGTTTCCCCAACCTGTTTGTCCTTGTGTGAATCTGAAGGGAGAGCTGTGATTTTTTCGAATATTGACTCAGGCTTAATCTGCCTCCTGTGGAGAAAAAAGAAAAGTTCAGCCCCGATGGCTGCATTTCCCATAAACCCCACACACGCAGAGCCATGCTCAGCTTCAAATTCATGTTTGCTCTTTTTATRTGCTCATTTATATTTACAGGGATCCTCTAGGACAGCACACTATCTTGGTAAAAAATAATTATTCACTAATATTAGTAGCAGCAACTATGGCTGGTTTGAAAAATGACTRATTATTTTGGTGTTAGGAAACCTGAAATACTTTGGAGAAGCCTATTTTTCTGTTGAGGAACAGCTCTCTGTGGACTGCTGGGAACTCCAGCTTTGCTGTTGCTAGAGGAACTGAAGAGGAACAAAATTCCAAGATATAATCATACATTTCTCTGTAATTGGAGGAGGGATGGTACCATCTGTGCTTTGTTCCTGTCCAGGGGAAATAAAACCCACACTATCAACATCCATRTATCCCCTTCACCCACTTTGTTGCATCCATCCCAAGGATTTTAACCATTTACAACAGACCCAAAATAACTTTTGCATAAAAYAGTGATGTGCAGTGCTATAAATAAAAGCTGTTTTCATGTGCATGGCACACACATGGCTCTCTCTGCTTAGCAGTTAATATCCTTAGAAAACACTTTCTTTTTTTTTTTCCTGGAAAACCAAACAAAGCAACAGCCTAAAAAAAAAGACAAAACAACCCACAAAATCCCAGAGTGGCATCGTTCTTCGTGAGAAATGCCAAAGAGGATAGATGGGATCAGGGTTAATTATCCTTTTTTTTCTGCCTACCTAGGTCTGTGTTTTCTCTTTGCCCTCTCTCTCCCCCGTTCCTCCTCTCTCTGTACAAAGCAGCCCTGCAGTATGTAGAGCATAAGAATTATTTCTCCAGCAGAAACTGCAACCTGCTTGCGGAGCCTCCGTACCCATTWGAGGCTCTTTCCAGAAGAAGTAATTTCCTTCTCCCCATAAATTATGCATCAATGTACATTTAAGATTCTGAGATGATGAACACAAGATGAAAGCGTTGCGGAGCGTTGCTGCTCCCGCGGAGCCGGCTCCACGGCGTTGTGCTCAGGCTGGGACACACCTTGCTGAGACAAACCTGCACGTGGGAGAGCGTGGAGGGGGAGCTGCTCCAGCTTCTGGGGCCTCAGCTCTGTGAGAAACCCTTTTTTACCTCTTGGGAGGCGTTTCCTAAGTGGTCTTCCCAAATGGGCTCTGTCCAAGTCAGGGTGATCCCAGCTCCTGCTGGGTCCTGGTGATTCTCCTTCCAGGATCTTGTCAGGCACAGGGATGAGACTGGCTGGCCTCCTCCTGGGTCYTCCATGAKTAAGAAAGRGGTTWTGTTTCTCCTTTTCCAGTCTGGGACTGCTGCARCTCCTCAAATATGATGGGAAGTGATGCAGCAACTCCATCCAGGTTCCCTCAGGACCTGTGGAGGAACCCCATCACATCCCATGGACSTGTGCACCTTCAGGGTCCTTAGAGGGTCTCAAACCTGATCTTCTCCTACAGTGGCTGAGAAAACATGTACTGAAAAATKGAAAAAGAATGCTTTCAGGTTAAATGTAGCATGTGGACATCAATGAAGAATGTAAATAAATGTACATGTATCTTTCAGAGAAGAATTTTGKGTGGTTGCCACAGTTGAAGCTGTTTAGGAGGTCGGCCTTTATGTTTTGCCACGTCAGAGATTACAGAGAGAATTTCTGAGTCTAAAAGAATTGGAATCTAAAGCTGACAAATGAAATTAATAATTCCTGAAAGAGAAATTYTGGGGAGTTTTATGTAAAATTGTTGTATATAACAGGTCATCCTGTAAAAATTAAAATATGCACCTTGCAATAGGTCTGAATTCCTGCGGGAACAGATCCCTGACCTGAGGTCACTCTGGAGCATTTCAGGGCAAATCAGGCATTGCTGTGGTGGGGAGGTGAAGTGAGACAGGGACAGTAAAATACCTCTGTTGCTGTTCTGCCATGAATGGACCTGCACTTACTCTGTGTCTCTTCCACAGTCTTTGAARTGACAGGGAAGCTTCCCAAGCACTTTGCACTGTTTCCATCTCAGCTGGTGATGGATTCCATTGTGTGTTTGTGTAACTGGGGGTGCATCTTTGTCCCTTCAAGCTTAGCTTTACGATCTGGCTCTTCACTTCTACCCAAGTTGACCCAACTGCTGAATTTCTTCTTTGAAGAAAGCAGTGCCACGTGGTTTCYTTCCTTTTCTCTCCTTTGACTAAGTTTTCTTTTAGAGAGAGAATAGTTTCTGCTTTCCAAATGCAACATCCCCCCTAAAAGAACCTGTGTATTAAAGCAGGCCATCGAGCCTTTCATCACTTCTCTTGGTGATAGCAGTCATGAATTTTTTATTTTCTGCAGGGCTCACTCCAGATCTGGCACAGCATTGTGTGGGTGCACACATGTAAAAAGGCTACTAATTGAAATTCAGATGTAACGAGATGAAGTTTTGCTATTCGCCATGACTGTCTTTTGTTTTAGCCCATGTACGCTCAGTGCACCTAAACAATACAACCATTGCTTCTCCTTTCAGAGTCGACAAGAATAACTAAAAAGGCAAGAAATATTTCTGTGTCTGCTGTACAGATGAAATATGCACCCCCAAAAATGGGAACRGCACGTGTCGGCTTCTTTATTTACTTATCCGTGGGGAGGGACGGAAATTTTAGCGGAACCGTAAAGAAAATGAAATAGAAACCTTTCTGCTATGAACTGCTCTCTTTTGAGGATGCAAATGTGTCTCTATTGCCTAGGTAACTATTATGGAACGCCCAAGCCTCCCAGCCAGCCCCTCAGTGGGAAAGTGACTTCCACCGATGCTTTGCAAAACCTGCAGTCTGGCTCCAAGCAGTCGACTCCAAAGCGAACCAAGTCTTACAATGATATGCAAAATGCTGGCATAGTGCATACAGAGAATGAGGAAGAGGATGATGTACCTGAAATGAGCAGTAGCTTCACAGGTAATGCAAAAATACCGCGGTCCCTCAGTTGGGATATGTAGGGGAGGGTTTTGGAGGGTAATTTAAAGGGGAGGGTGTTGTTTTTGATGTGTTTTCTGCAAAGCTGTCMGTGTCAAACAGAACTGGCTGACACSTGARTGGCAGATGTCCAGGTKTGAGCAACCACATGCACAGTTGTGTCTCTCCAAAAAGGCCTTGTGGGATTGAGCTGGATGATTAAAAAATGTGGGAAAGTTCAAATCCGTCAATTGCAGAAAGGTCAGGAAAGAGCTGAGCTATGGTTGACAGTTACAAACAGTGTGAAATGACTCAACCAGGATTACATTTGAAATTAATTATTGCTCCRTCCTAAGTATGTTGCTGTCCTTTATCCTTCCTTGCCAGTCGAGCTGCCCATCACATGCAGGTACTCATACCATACTCATCCTCTGCTCCAAGGTCCCTCCCAGCAGATGGAGGGCTGCTCGCTGCAGGAATGAGCTCTGAACTGTGGCTGCAAGCTCTGTTTTGTGAAGGCCTTGTGTCCTGCTGAACACAGATCTTGTGGCTGCCASCAAGCCTTGGCTGAAAGGTCATTGGAAACCTTTGCAGTCTAAAGTCAAGCTCTGTGCAGGCAGGTTCAGAGTCAAACACCATTGGAGGTCCMTTGAGTTTCCATAGAAATCATCTGGAAGTTTGTGAAGCTCTGAGGGGCAGGAGCTCTTCCCCATGTCCTCAATCCTAGTATTTGTAGTGCTTAGAGTGTTGCTACCTCAGCTCACTTCCAAGCACTGAATTAATCTCCTGGGCTCTGTTTGAGGCAGATACTGAGCAGGTGTTATCCACACCTTCAAGCCTTTCTGGGCCCTCTGTCCCCTGGTCACTGCTATCACTATGACAGTTTTCCTCCCCAGCCTCTGACGAGTCAGAGGATCTGCCCTGCCAGTTCCTACCTGCCAAAGTCCTCTTCTAACATCTGTTCACAGCTTTGAAAGGATTTAGTTTAGGCTGAGATTTAGTTTAGGCTGAGATTTTAGTTTTCTGGGCCAAACTGTTGAATGGCTTTGAGGGTTATGCTCTGTTTGGCTGCTACCTGCTGCACATTTCCAACTGAAATCGCTCCTAGCCAGCCCAGTTCCTCCCAGGCTGGAATTCTTGTCTCTGCTTACCAGCTCTTACAAAATTTTCCACCGGGGGTGGTTTCTTACATATTGTGACATGGCAGCAGCTTCAGCCTTTGTCACGGGATCTGATTTTGGGAAGGAGCTGGTGGGAGATTTGTTGTTTGATTTCCTCGCTGCCCATCTCATTTTGATGCCCCTGCAGTAGCTTGAGCATCATTTCTCTTCCTTGTTTTCCTTCACAAGATGAAATACTGGAAGATGCAGCTCATTTGTCACAACTTTATCACACCCTGGCCCCTTGCCTTCATTAAATGGGCACAGAATCAAGAAAAGAGTTATTTCTCATATACCAAAGCGATTCCTTATGCTTATTTCACATGTAAGTGTGCTAGCCATATTAAAATGCTCCTGCTTCCCTGGGAGACCTCTCGGTGACTTGTGTTTTCCAGATTTTGGCATGTTTATACTCTCAGTTTTAAGCKGGCGATGATTCATTCATGCTTCTTTATCTTGTCATCTTCTACCTAAAAATATCAAACGCCAGGAAGGCTGGAAAGCAAGCTSTGAGGGTACTGGTACAGTCTAGATCTCTTTCTTCCTTTTCCTCCCAGTTTATGATGTTCAGTATCTTCTCTTTTGGCAATGGCAGCACACAGAGCAGAACAGTGGAGGAGCTTTTCACAGGGCTGTGAGCTGAGGGTGTCCGTGGTCTGTGGTGTGGAGAGCAGGGGTGAGGTTCTGCCTGTGATGCCATTCCAGTCCTGCTCCCTGGGGACACAGAGGTGGCACTGATCTCTCTGTGTTTTGCTCAGTCTGTTGTCTGTGCTTGTTGTGATGTTCTCAGGGGATGTGGAAGTTCTGCCATAAATTTTCAGCACCTTCAATAGCCAGACAGAACAAATCCCCTTGGTAGGCACAGAGTTAATTTTGGAATTTGTCCATTGTTGCCAAAACCTCTCTGTGAAGGAGTGAGGGCGCAGACTGTTTATTGGGGAGCATTTGCTGTGATTAGTGATGGAGGGAAGGAGCAGCGGTGTTTCATGGGTACAGCTCAAAACTGCATGGAGACAAGCATCAGAAATATTTCCTTACAGGGAGAARGGCCAGATACATCATGAAATAGTCCTGACTGACTTTGACTGGAAGGACACTGTGATGAGCCGTGGAATAAACCTCCTCAGACAGCAAGTTCAGGCACTAGTGAGCAGCAACATGTGGACACATGGTGCAGTGCTGACATTCATTTTAATTTTTAATTTAAAATAATGCACTGCACCGAAGACATTCACCATTAGCTTGCTGACTTTGAGCTTCTGGCAACATTTYGCACTTGTAAAATCTCCCCTTTTGATCATTCTTCAAGCAGGAAATTTTATTCTCCTAATCCTGTCCCACAGTTGGCACGAACCTGTAAGCCTGCTCRAAAGCCCATTGAACTGCTCTCCACGAGTGAGCCCTGGCCTCAGACAGCTTGGAAGAATTTGGTAGCTCAGCAGAGCCTGTTGGGGCGAGCACAGGAGCTGATCACAGCTCCTGATTTGGGCTGGCAGAGTGAGTGTGGGCAGGGCACGCTGCTGCCACGGAGCCTGCTGGGGCTCTGCCCTCACTGTGCCTTGTGAATTAGGAGGCAAGGAGAGAAAAACCAGCAGGATAAACCTTGGAGGAGCAAACCAGGGGAGAAAAGGAAYGATTTTCACTTTTATCTGTGGTTGTTTGTTCCGCAGCAGAGTCTGGTGACCAAGAGGAGCACAAGGCGCATATCGTGAGAGAGGCAGCCCCACCGTCCGCCGCTGAGAGCCACACCCACGTCCCCACCACGGAACCATCTCAGAGCCTCCCTCAATACCTACCTCCTTCTGCCGAGGATAACCTAGGGCCTCTGCCGGAAAACTGGGAGATGGCCTACACCGAGAACGGAGAAGTCTATTTTATAGAGTAAAGCACTTTTTTGTTGTTCTAATTCCAKCTCTCCCCCCTCTCTCTGGGCATATATAAACCTCCACGGATGCGTTTTGTGTGTGTACGTGTGTGTATGAAATATTTAGCCTATWCAGTTATGTTGCAGAGCTGTTAGATCTGTGCTTCTTCTGAAAGGGTTTTGCATTTCCTGATTGGATTAACATCCAAATTGCTCCTGAGTTCAAAGGCAACGGGAATTGCTTGTTTTACGAGGGTGTTTACAAAAGCAACAGACACTTGTAAAACACAGGCCAGTTGTTTTCACGGGTGGAGTGAAAGCTCCTAATTGGAAGGGCTGAGACTTCATTTCTGGTGCCTGCCTTTGTGCATCAGAGGGGATTCGTCCAGTCCTGTGCACAGGTAGCAGAGCCAAGGATGGACTTAGTGTGCTGTCCCCTTGTCACAGCAAACAGGCCAAACCTGTTCTCCAGGGGTTTGCAGGAGGAACAGCTCAGTGCAGTGTTGGCACAGTAAGTTTGGAACACAAGTACCTCGTGCTCTGCAGTCTTTGCCTAAGAGCTGATTGCTGTCAGCGTTTTTATGATGATATTGATTTTTTGTGCCATAAATAATAGTCTCTAATTATACTTGTCTAAATTTATTGAGGTAGGAGTAACTTATAAAAYAGGACCTGTTAGTTTGAGAGATGTCTTGCACAGAGTTTAGCTAGACATTAGCACTCAATTAGCCTTTGAAACTCAAGCCCTTAGCTGCCAARTAGAGGAGGGGGTGAGGAATTGATTTGGGTTTGATGGTCTGTTTAATGCAGTTGTGGAAGCTGTAGGAGAAGCCAATGGCCGGTTATGGCAGCAGAACCTCCTGTGCTCATTGCCCCCGTGCTGCTCTGGAGAGCTACCCTGGATCAGGGTGTAAAGGCAGCAGTCCTGCTCATCATCAGGAGAGGGGACTTTTGGACAGGGCCAGGGAAAGGTTCAAGAGCAGTTTTTCCCGTGGCTGCAGTGTCAGGGGAACCCATTAGAGAAGATTGCGAGAAGGTCTGAGAGCTGGGGTGAGTGAGGGCACTGCAGCAGCCCTTCASCAGCCCGGCTCTAAAAAAGGCCATTTCCAGGGCACTCCCAATTACCTGAAGAGGCTCCAGCAGCCCCCAAGTGTAAGACAAGGTCGAGAAGGCACAGTGCAGATTCTCATCAGATGAAACCAAGATGTGTGCATTACCCTGAGCAYGGCTCTGTGCCCCTCACTGTGTCCTCAGGGCGCCTCGTTATTTGAGCACTTTCTGGCCTTTATACAGCACAGCCTAATAGCCCGTTCAGCCTGCCTTTCTCCTCCCTGGAGGAGGACAGATGATGAGTCCTAAATGCTGCCCCAGCAGTCGGTTGTCCCCCTTTTTGACCCCGCAGGGGCCCTGCTGTCCTTCCTTACAGGTGCTTCAGTCAGGGTTCTGCTGCCACCACCGATTTCCCCAAACCCATCCCCATGGCTGCTGTGTCTGTGTTCTTTKAGCAATGCAAGGCTGGAGCACCTCTAAATAATTTGTCAGGCCTTCTGCAGGAGAATCATTCCTGTGGAGGGCARAGCAGCCCTGTAYACAYGGGCTGTGTGCTGGCAGCAGCAGCTGCTCCCTCCCTGCAGTGCAGTTTGAGGATGTGCTCACTCGGGGCTGATTTTGTGCACGAACCTGTTGGTGTGGATGCAGCACTCCATGACTGCAGTTCTATTAATTCTAAGGACACCCTGAGCTRAGGAGCCATTGAGTTTGATTTGTATCAGATTAAGAGAGTGAGCTAACGAGCAGTGTGGGCCCAGGCTGGCTCAGATGTCTGTTCCAGCATCTGTGGTGCTTTGGGTATCAAGTCAGGGTGCTGAAGGGGAGCAGCAKGAGCTGCTTGCACAGAACCAGTGCAGGTCCACTGGTGCCAGGGTTGTGTGTTAGATAACCAATCCTGATGTGGCTGAAGCAATTTGGCTCTTGAGATAGGTTTCTCTGGTGGTTTAATTGGCATTTTCATTACCCAGCATCTCCCAGTCCCTTGTTACCCTGTGCACAGATCTGTGCACATTACAGTTTTAACACAATCCTGTCCCTCTGAGTGTGTGATCTGAAAGGTGTTCAGCTAAATTTTCTGTGCCTCAGCAAACTACACTGTTGTGAGCCTTTGCTTAGCGAGTACAAAATTGCAAAAAATATGCAAATATTCAATTGCTCTCCTCCCACCGCCCTCCTTCTCAGCTAGACTGCAGACTTGCTTATGTGCAAGGTGGCAGACCCCCTCTGCTTTATTGCTGTTAATTTGCCTGACTTGCTGAATTTCTGCCATTCAGTTTTCAAGGTGGCAATTAATTGCTCTGGAGCACACATAAGGATTAAACATGTTTGCTCATCCTGCCTTGTGTGAAACAAGGTCCTTTTATTTACTCACTCAGGTCCTGGGAGCAAATCTGGCCCCTTTTCTTCCAGGACAATACAAGTTTGCTGGTTGGTTGTTAGCTCTTCAGGGATCATGGCCCTCATTACAGAGCTCTCATGAGACTGTTGTGAGGCTAAAGTTCAGTTTGTAAACCTCTTTGAGACCTTGAAGGAGAAGTAAATAGCATTACTATGGTATTGAAACTTAAAACTGTTAAGCAGTGTTAAAGGCTAAGCTAGATGAGTGATACCTCAGGGACTGGAGGGATATCTTTGCAGGTTGTGTCTGAGAAGACACCAGGTTGTGGAAGAAGCATTATATGACCAGATTGTCTGCTTATGCAAATGAAATTATGGGAGAAAAGAACTTCTAGAAAAATGTATTTTAAGGCTGTTTACTATGCAGCCTTCACCGCTGGGACTGGCATCATGAGACTGTCAGGGGACTTGTAGAAAGGAAGAGTTGAAAGTAAAGCTGTTCAACTTCCATCAAAGGCTTAGGCAGAACATTTTTATTTGTGTAATTACCAAGTTTTCAATCAAAACGGTTTTTGGCTAATGCTTGGGTMAACTCTAAACGTGTCAAAGGTCTTTTGTAGGAACAAAGATTACTGTATAATTTAGTGAGGAAGGGAACTTCTGTCTTGAGCTCAGAGSCAGCTCTTGGAATTAAAAAATGAGCCACCAAAGACAAAAATTTGGAAATTAGTATTATAATATTGCAGTATTCATGTGCCTCTTTCTAGTCAGGAATGCTGATTTGTATATTTTCACTTGTTACCTTTATGTTTTCAATGCCCAAGTTCTTGTGGTTTGGTCGACTAGTTTGCTCTACATCAAATTGTAGAGCTGCTTCTTTGATTCAAAAGTATGCCTTCAGGTCTGTTGAATAATAAAAAGGATATATACTTTTATGTCACGGATACTTCAACTCTGCTTTATTAACAAAGGTCATATTTCCATTTTTGGTTTCCAGCCATAATACAAAAACAACATCTTGGCTAGATCCACGGTGCCTGAACAAACAGCAGAAGCCTCTAGAAGAATGTGAAGATGATGGTAAGAGACTAAAAATAGTGACATAATATTGTGCTTGGTCCATTCCTAGGTGACTTCCTTCCTTTTCCTTCTCTCTTTSTAATAACTAATGTTCAGAAAGACTATTTTTTTTTTTTAGAAAAAAAGGTTTATTAGTAAGCACGTAGAGACAACATGTTGTAAAATTGCTGTGAATGTAAAACAGCCGTCAAGGTGTGAGATCATTTAATAAAAATCAAGGAGGTGCTACAAGTAAGAGGCCTCTGTTTTTTGCAAAGGCATTTGAAAAGTCACTGATGCTGAACGAGACTCAAAGCTGTCTGACATGTTTGCTCCTTGGATCGCTGTGTGGGAGGGAGCATCCGAGTCTCTGCGTGCTCCGCTGTGTTCYGCTTCAACCGCCTGCTTCACATGGATTCAAAGAGTTGTGTTGYTGTTTCCTTGTTTGAGCAGAAATAACTCAATTGCTTCACTTCTATTCCTAAATGCTGACAGTCTGCGCAGTGTTGTGTTTGCTGAAAACAAATTCCATTTGAAAGTGTGAATCTCTGGCACTGTAAATTTGCACTGATAAGATTTTGTATTCCTTGAGATGTTGGAAATGCAAGCCACTGTCCGATTTAGAGCAGCCAAATGCAGGACTTTTAAAGGAGGGTCTTTGCCTGCCTCCTTTAGGAGATGCTGGAAGAAAAAGGGAATTATCAAAAGAACTTAAATGTTTGGGAAAACCTGTGTGGAAATTTTGGTCTACTGACCACRAAAGGTGGTGATATTCAAACACATAATCTTGGATAACACAGTACATCAAGATAGACACTGCTTTAAAATGGAAGGTTTCCCTCATTAGTGTTGGTGCTGTCCTTGTAAAATTGGTTTTCATAATATGTTTAACCTCCTACTTGTGTCAGTCATCTGAATAAGAATCACAATTTTATTTCAGAAAAGAATCAACTCAATCCCTTTTCACTGTTAGGTCCAACTCTGCCCTCCAGAACTGCCATTACTGTTTTTGCACATGCAGTTTTTCAACCTCTCATTCCTTTCAYGTGTGAGATTTTGCAGGATGTGAGAATTTACCTCTGCAGCCTTGGCTGCTGTGATGAAGCAGGTCACCAATTTCCTAGTGCACAGTGCAGGATACTCTCAAACCACAGGGATGTGCCACAGGAGCAGCCACAAGGCTACAGTGGGGTGACCGAGCTCCTGTTACACAGTTTAAGTGTCCTCACAGAAGGGAAAGTCTTTCTCTTGTCCTCTTAGCAATTGTAAAGCAAACATTAGAATAATTWGTTTTATTCGGAATAGAAACATGCAGCTGGTATTATTGTATTTCATTGAGTTCATAATTTCACAGAGCAGTGGCATCTTTGTTTATCAACTCCTTAAAATCAGCTAATTTCATCTTCCCACGCACCSCTTCACTTCATTCACCAAGTTGCTCATTAATGGATATTTTTAACATTCARTCGTTAAACCAGTTGCCTCGTAGTTACAGCAGTTCTCTGCACTGCTTTGCTTGGCTGCTCTAATCTTGTTTAGCACATAAGAATAATTATATTTCAAAAAACAAAGAGGAGAGAAGGCTAGTTTCACTGCATCATAGAAGCTGGATGTTTTTTGGCAAGGGTCACTGTTGTGTGTCATTCCACAGAAGTCAATGGGATGACTCCTCTGTTTTGTTTGGTGTGTGTGCATGTGAGTTGTCAGGCTCAGTCCCACCTTCTTTGTGGATTTTATAAATGTTAGATGTTGTTTCAGATTTGTTTGGGTGCAGTTGCCTTGTGGTTTTGCTTCATCAGGATACGTGTCCCTAACAAAGTTTTTGCTTGTTTCCAGTTGTTTAGGCTATCAAAGGAAATTGCAATTTGTATTTCGCATTAATGGTCCCAAACAACTGCGTTTGTAGAATATTTTGCAAGGAGGTCATGGAATTGGTTTTTTGGGTGTCCAGATGTTGTGACCCTACATTTTCTGGTTGCTTCTGTCATTCATTTATGTGGCTTCAACTCTGCTGTATYAGGTCCAAGATTGTTTTTACCATCTTTGTTCTGGTTTTGTCACCATCTTTCATTTTCAGGCTGCATTTATTATTATTTATAGGCTAAGCAATACTTTAATCATCTGTGTCACTGTTAACTTATGAATATGGAGCAGATAATGATAAATGGAGCAACAGCGAATATTGATGGCTTTGTGTCTTTGAAAAATTATGTGATCTTTGTCCCAGGTGCCCTGCTAAAACTGGTGCATTCCTGTGTGTGCCTCATCAGTGCATCTGGACCGTGGGGCTGTGCCTCCAGTTGAACAAGGCACTTCACTTCATGTCTACCCTAAATCACCCGAGCAGGACAGTGAAGTCTGTGGACCTTGTGTGCACATAAACTTAGGTGCTTCTTGAAAACCTTGCTACATTAGTACTCATTTAGGTGCAAGGTTTTCCTCTCAGATTTCTTCATTAGTATCCAGGTCTGGCCTTCTGATAAATCCATGTTTCTACAGAACAGATTGTGAAGGTCAGACCTTACTGATCTGAGGGAGARGCCTCACTGCAGTGAGAGCACCTGCATGACTTTGCCATATCAAACCATCACATGGAAATAGTCCATTGATGCCAATGTTTTGAGAGCACAAGAGCCARTTCTTTCATTATCTACATCAGATCCATCAATATTCCAATCACTGGAGTGCGATAAATGGAAAGCTTGGGCTCGGTGTGTGGAAACTTAGTGCTGGTTCTGCTGTTTGCTGTAGGGAATTTCTTGCTTGGTGCTGGTATCTGAAATTTTCTTTTAATTTTTTCTGTCTCATTTACTGCTCTTCCCTTGGAGAAGAAGGGGTACACACGGAGGAACTGGACAGTGAACTAGGTAAATCATCCATCTCTCGTTTTGATATTTGACTTCAACTGCACTGTTTTAAGCCTTTAATTACTTACTTTCTCYTTTGTATCATTTTGCATCTTTCAGTTTTGTTTTTTTTTTTAATTTCAACAAAAGTAATTAATCAGCAAAGCTTCCCTAGCACACAGAGCATTTATCTTTCCCTAGCTTCACATCTGCAGTGGTTTTCTTACTGATTCAGAGTTTGAAGAAAGCTAGAGAGCCCTAATCTTGGAAAGTTGATTCGAAGATGCTTCATTGGAAGGAATGCTGTAGAAATCTGGGTCTTCTTTGGCATCTCTGGCTCCAGGAAAAAGCTTACAGATGCCAGAGTTGAAATGAAGTAGCTCATGATGCTTTTTCACTGGGGCCAAAGGCATTACTCAGACAATAGAAGCTGAGTGTGATTCAGAAAGTTTTAAGTATTTCATCGGATGCTTCGGCTGAGCTTGTGAATGAAACAGCTTAAAATTTTGCCTCAGTCAGTGATTTTATAAGCAGATGATTTTCAATGATGTGGTACACTTTTATTTGCTGCATCTCTTTGTGAAGGATGCTGTCTTGATATCTAATCTCAGCAGTGCTCATTGTGTTTGTACTGATGGCAGAGGTAGTTGTTATTTCTGTTCTGCTATGCTCTAGTGCACACRGAGAGCTGAAAGGATAAGAGGTTGCACAGGATTTTATTTCCACTAGGACTATTATTGCTTTTAAAAAGGACTGTGCTTACAGTTCATAGTTCTGCATACTGGAGGAATTGTATTACCAGAGAATTAAGCTCTGCTTTCTGTAATGACTTGCRAGTGAGTGTATTCTGCTCCCTGCCTCGGTGTGATGGATATGGRATCAGCAGCCAGGAGTGGGCTTGGAATGCTGCTCCAGGAATGCTCCTTCTTCATAATATGCCTGGAATAATATTCCAATGTAAAGTTGGAAGCCCAACTTCTTATAGAGCAAGAATTGGAATGAAATGACAATGTAAAGAATGCAGTCTCTTTAGTGGTGCGTAAGTGTTATGTGCAGCTCTTACAAATAATCAACAAACTATTTGTTGATTTGTTATTTATAAATTTATCTATTGATTTGTTATTTGTAAGTAATCACAAATAATCAACAGCCCAAGTAGCATCAGAAGTAGGTGGATGCACACCTGCGAAGGGTTCTCACAAAGGTCTTCAAAACCAGTGGCTTAAAATGAGATGGAGGTTTAAAAAAAAATTAGAGGCAATATTAAATAGATGCTACCCTTTTTTTTCGGTGTGCTGTCAGGGACTAGTGCAAGAGAAGAGCTGAAAAAAATAGGTGCAGGAAAAGTCTTTAATTGATAAGCTTGACCCCAGATCTGCAGGCACTTACGTACACAAGTGTTTTGCTTGAACATCACGAGATGTTCCCTTTGTTTCAATGCAGATAAGCTTTATTGAACTCACAGCCCATCAATACACTGTTGAGATGAGCAAAAGCTGCAGTGTAAAGAAAAGACCTTTTCAAATTACTCCGTTGGTTACAGCAACATTAGGGAGGGGGCATGAAAACTTTGTRTAGTTATAACAACTCAGATTAATATAAACTGGTTGGCAACAGATCTTTAGCTCCTTAACTTACCAGCAATTTCTGTTCTAAATATAAGAGGATTAACACTTGAGGCATTTTCACAACTTCTTGTTTTCCAAAGAGCTATGGAGTAATAAGTCACCTCATTTTAACAGGAGTTTGTACAGCAGACACAAAAATTGAACCTTTAAAACAGAATGTGACATAGCAGAATTTGACATAGCTTGGACCGACCCTCGTGGCTGCACAGGGGGCAGGAAGAGCTGAGTGTGCTGAGTTCCTCTCCAACTCCTTCACTTCAAAGTGTGGCTCCAACTGAACTACCTGGTGGCTGGAGAAGTAATTTTTCAGGAATCCATCCAGCCCCTCTRTATGTAGGGCAGGATATTAGAGCATCTCAACAGGAATCCATGTACTTACCCAAGGTTTAAAATTGTGAAAGTAGATATTTATCCATTGAATTTACCTGCTGACAAATGCTCTGAGACTGCACATTGCTGCATGGAGGTACCAAAATAAAAGCCTTATGGCTCACTCAGTCTCCTAATGGCGCAAAGTGTTTTTGGAAATCTCATCTTTGTGATAAAATCTTACGCCCTGGGTCATCTTCAGTTTGGCAGGAGAGATAGAGAAAGGAGATGAATAATTTAAAGCAGCTAAGAAGCTAGCCTGTGCAGCATGGCTATGGAGAATATTGCCTTTGCTTCTAGAAGCTGGTAGAAGTTGAAAAGTGCATCTACATAATCAACAAGAAATGTGTTAAAAGCTGCAGTTTTGTATATTGTTACATCTGAAAACATGGAGATTTGTTYCTTAACTGAAAAGCTGTAGAGATAGTAAACTGGAAAAGATTTTGCCATAATGCCATTTGCTGGTGTTCTGATCTTTTGTGAAAATGCTATAAAAGGGAAGAAAGAAAAGAAACTTAATATCAAAATCTTTTGTGAACAGAATACAAATTTTTTTGCTTCTACTTAAAAAATAAAAAAAGCATTTAATAGTCCAAAATAGATAAAAGGTATTTAGCAGGAAAACTGGTGGAACTCATTTGAAGCCATTTGTGCATTACTTCCCCTTTCCCTCATTGACTTTTTATTTTTCTTCCACCCCAGCCTGATCTCTTTACCATTCTACTGTCACCATAGTGCAACAAACTAAATGGCTGCAACAGCTTGTGATTTTCCCAACTGCATGCTAGGTTTTMATCTAATTGCACTGGAGCTCCTGGAGCCAGTCCCACGGTGTTTTCACCTTCTGGGACTCCTCTGCAAACCTGAGAGTTCCCTTTGTGAAAAGGCTTTCAAGATTGGCCTCTAGCTTTCTGACTTTTTTTCAGATACACTTGTAGGGTGTAAAGGAATATCTAATTCTGAAGTGTTCAATCTGCTGATAAAACCATGGAGTTTTTTCATGCCCAGAAGTTAGCACTGGCTTGCATTTAATGGCTTATGTCTCAAGGAATCCAAAGATGTTAAACACAATGAGGATGAAATAATGATAAGAATGGAAAAACCTATCTTGTATCTGCAAATAAGGGATGTGTGGAGCAAAACGCATGAAAATTGATTTCATCTGATCTCCAGCCAATTCTGAACACAAGCATAAACTTTGAGTAATTAGTCCATGTGTGTTTGTATAGATTCTGTTCCTCTCCAGTCTGGAGATATTTCTATCCTTATGGCAACATTATTCTAATTAATAGGCCATTGTTGATTGTATTGGCTCAGCAATTGATGCCATTAATGAAAATAAATCTCTGCATTTGATAATAAATGCACATAGATTGCTGTCAGTGTTGACAAATTTCATGCTAAATTTTGATGAATAATTTTGCATGGGGTATTTGAGGCTGTGTTAYCCAACAATGTTGGATTTTTTTCCTAAATTTAAATGAATGTGCAGAGTTGCTGGGACCACAAGTGCACAGTCAATTGTGTGGACYTTTTCTGAGTTGTTTCATAGTATTACACAAACACACCACTCTGTATTGTTAATAGGATGATTATTTTGTTATCTACAGCCAATGGGAATATTGTGTTTAAATGAGTGGCACAAGGATCAGACCCTTAACACACACAGCTTTAATAACCCTCAGTTGGATGCTGAAGTGATTGCATTGCATTCACTAATTATAATTAAAGTACTATCTACAGTCTAGAAAATCAACGGGAACAAAAGTGGATACATTATCAAATGTTATTTTCATCTTCAGAACTGTTTTTTGTTAATTATGGTAATGAAAAGAAGGAACTCTCTGTTCCATGTGGCTGTGCAATGTGTGTTCTTACATGARGTGCTGTGCACTGAAACACATCCGTGTGTGCCAACCCCTCTTGGGTGGGTTCCCTATGGTGGATGTTCCTGTTAAATCCACCTTGTCCTGGTTTTGTGTTGGACTCRTGGCTGAGCCATGCAAATCCCAAAGAAAGGAGGTCAAAACCCCCTCTTTTCTGCACTGGTGAGCATAAATGGCTCGGCCCTGGTGCAGGAGATGGAAATGGTCTCTGTAAGGGGCTGCAGTTTCTCTCTGTAGTCTCACCCACCTCCACGGGATGCTGTTAAAAGGTCTCTGGTGTGTTCCTGTGTCAGCTTCCCCTGCAGTGCCCCATCCAGAGCTGCTGCCCACGCTGGAGAAACCAGGAGGGGTACCCSAGGCAGTCCCAGACAGGAAATTTATTGAACATTTGCTCATTTAATGCAAAAAGCAAATCAAAAAGTGATTGGTGTGGGCATCCTCCCAATGATGTGCTGGCCCAGCACGGGGAGGGAGCACGGGCTGGGATGTTGGCCCTTTGGAGGGGGTTGTGATCCTTCTGAAAAGGATCCGAAGCAAAGTCTGAGCTACTGATGAGTTCTGCAYGCTGAGCAGGAGCAGCTGCTTGCCGGAAGAAAACCTGCCTTGGAGGCTTCAGTAATGCTTTTTCTGTTTCCAGAGTTGCCTGCTGGTTGGGAGAAAATTGAGGATCCCGTATATGGTGTCTACTATGTAGAGTAAGTGCTGCTCCCCGCTSCGGTGTGGCTGTCGGGCACAGGAGGCTCTCCCTGCACCCCTCTGGACTCTGTGCTTTGCTGTGACATCTCAGAGCAGGGAGGAGACCCTGGCCCCTTGCAGGCTGGGGATGTGACAGGATCTGGGAGAGGRCAGCCCTGTCTGGCCATTCCCCATCCCCCTGGAGTGGCAGTGGGCTCAGGGGACACAGGAGTGCCCTGGGASRGGGCTGAGCTCAGGGAAGGCAGGAGCAATCCGGGGTTGGGATGTGCAAGTGATGCCTGATGATTTTTGCTTTTCCCTTTACGCTTTCTGTACCCCCTATGCATCCGCCTGTACCCCTTAGCCCACATGCTTGTAATTCCTGAAGCTTGATATTCCAGCTTAGTTTAGGAGTTCTGCTGGGCAGAGAGACCAAACATCCTGAGGAAGGAGTCAGTGTGCCCTGTGCTGTCTTAAACCCGAGGCTCCAGCCTTGGGTGAAGCCTTCTGTCCAGAACATCTTGTGTAAACTGGGCTCTGGCCTCATCCTGGGGGGCAGATTCATTAGAATAGGGGGACATTACTGCATTTGTTAAGTTTCTTATTGGGGAATCCTAGATAGATATGCTAATTCCTGAAGTCTATAAAACTTGTACCCATGCTGTACACGGGTGTGCATTCTACCATCAAGTTGTGCACCTGGGATCCCAAATACCGAGGTAAAACCCTTTTCATCCCCTTAACCGTGTCTGTGTCGTTATTAAAAACTGGCCTTTCAAGGCAACACAAGGAGCCCCAACACCTCACAGAATATTTCCATCCAGAGAGCACTAACGAGTTTACAATTAACTGAGCTCTGTCCCCTTGCTGCAGTGCTGTGGTCACGACACAAGTGTGCAAAGCAATCCCCCAGCTCAGAAGGAGGAWTGGAGAAGCTCCTGTGACCAAATAGCCATGGCAGGGGCTCTTCCATCAGGCTGTGCTGCTGGTAATAGAATTACAGGTTTAATGGGACTCTCCCTGGAATTAGAGCAGCTTCTCCTTTATCGAGATGTCGGATTGCTCCTTTGGGAAACCAGAGATCTGAGCTTTGTTTCATCACTGACCSCATAAAATGAATTTTTAATTATGTGTATACTCCTGTCTAGTAGGATGGCTTTTGATAGCCCTCAGAATAGACACGGAATACAGTTTCTGTCTGCTTTGGCTCATTTCTGACCCTACCATCTGTGCCTAGGGAAACAAGGTTAGCAAACTGTGTAATTAAGGCTCGACATTTATTTACCAAAGGCATCAAGAATATTTTTCGGCTATTAAATGCCATGCCAAGAGGTCTTTACAGCATTTTTTTCTTGTCATTTTATATGCACATGCCCATTAGTTTTGTGGCACTCCTTACTGATTGAATTAAATCAAAAAGTAACTGCAGTAAGACATAATTTTATTTTACTTGCTSTTTGTAAGCTAGCAGGATGGTTATAACTTTAGCATTTGTCTCTGTCCCTTCAAATAAGGCACTCTGTTATTACATAATAGCTTTTATTGAGAGACAATTGTATCATGAAAAAGTTTGTATCATTTTTTTTAAGTAGTTACCATTTTTTCTTATCTTTCCAAAGATACCTTGAAATGGGAAATCTTTTACAGAACTCATTAACTTGTTTTTATTTAGTAAGTTAAATATTTTTCTAGTGATTTAATATTGATCTGTAGCAGAAAGAATTCTGAACATAAATCCCTGGAGTGCTTCTGTCACAATTACTTGAAAAAGTGATTGGTTTTCACATGTTTGTTTTTTACAAAGACACATTGGATAGGAGACAATTGGATAGCAATTTCTTAATGGTAAACTTTGTTTTGCATACAAAGATGAGCTTTAAGGTAATATATTTCTCTGAGGTCCACCTGTTCCTCTGCTGTAGGAAAATCACTACTGAAAATGGCTCTGGAACAGTTGAGCTGTGCAGGGAATTCCGGACCTGCCCCTGCCACCCAGCATTTGTGGCTGGTGTTCATCACTTGCTTCCATCAGKTGGTTGGTCCTCTGCTGAGTCTGCTGTGCTGGGACTGGGCTGCTTTTTTTTCCTTTTCCTGGAACTGGTACAAAGTATTGGCTCTCAACATCTCATAGTGCTCAAAGGCTGCCTAAGGAAAGGAGCTAAGTTTCAATAAATGCTGGTTTCCACTGAGAGAATTTTCTGGTGGCTGATTCTGGATAGATTTTGATCCGTTTGGAGCCCAGCTCAAAATATCCCTGCAGATATTTTTAAGACACCCTGTGTGCATTGATCAGRTTGCTGACAGATGTTAAGGTTTGSTTTGKTTTATTTTGTTTTGTTTTGTTTCTAACTTCAGTGAGCCAGGGAATGGCTGCACCTCTGGGCATCTGATTAAAGCAGGGATAATACAGGCATGTCTTTTAAAATGCAATCAGACAGAGCACTTTTTCTGCTTTAATCTGATTTTGCACAGATAGAGCACTACTTTAATGTGTTTGAAGGAATTAGCCATTCCTACTCAAGACACCATATCAATACCAGAATCCGCTTGTTTTTCTAAATACTCCTTTTGGCACAACTAGATGAGCCTTGCTCCACATCCACTGCTGTTGGGCTTGTTTGGTATTTTACTCCTTTCCTCTGAAAGARGARTTTCAATGCCTGGCCCTCGTTSCTGCTGTTGCACAAAGGGTTCCCTAATTCATTGCTCTCTTTCATCTCCAGCCACATCAACCGGAAGACACAGTATGAAAAYCCAGTTCTTGAAGCAAAGAGGAAGAAGCAGCTCGAACAACAGCAGCAGCCTCCAGAAGGTTGGCACCCCTGAGGGCACGGTGGGTGGGTTGTTCGTGGGGGAATGCCCTCCCTTGCCATGGCAGCCCCCTGCCTGCCAAAGTGTTTGTCCTTGGTGTTTAAAGRCAGAGTGATGTGCAGAGGAAAGGGTCTGTTTGTCCTTCACAGAAGGTGCAGCAAAGGAGAAAATCTGAAGTGTTGTCATCACTTCAGCATAGAAGCTCTCAACCTTGTTAAACAGGAGAGAATTTTCTTTATATGTCCTTTTTTCTGGAAAGTTTCTAGACGTCCCAGAAACAACTAAAACATGTTTTCCTCTTCAGTCTGTTCCATGAAGGTAGTCAGTCACTGTAGCTGGTGTTGTTCCAGKCTGCACTGGGGCTCAGGCTATCAGAGGAGTGAGGAATGGGCATTTACATGCACTAGAGAAACCCTTCTGTGTGAGAGACTTCTTAAACTGAGACCTTTGGATGTTGCCAGGCTCTAAAATCGGAAGTTATATCCTTATTTTGAAACATTTTGGATTTTTTTATTTTCCCTCCCCCTCCTTTTTTTTCTTTCTTTTTTTATTTTTTTTTTCTTTTCTTCGAACGCAGCTCAAATGCAGTGAGGGGCCTGTGGCATTTGAGTTTATTTTTCCAGTTAGATGCCACGAGTGGCACAGGGGGTAGACTTCATTTAAATGTCAAGCTCACTTAGATGTTAAATCAAGTCCCAGGTCTGAGCATGAGATAGGATATCCCAGCAGAATCAGTTGATGTGGACACAGAGATCCTCCAGGACTGTTTTTTGGACATCCCATTMATTTTATTCCCTCTGTCTGTGACTCTGTTTCCTCTCTTGCCATGCTTCTCACCTCTCCTCTGCTTGATCCTCACACTCCCAGCGTGTGCAYGAGCAGCAGCTCCCGGTGCTGTTGTGAAACCAGTAACATTTCCCTCTCTGCCCTCTCTAGAATGGACAGAGGAGTGTCCATCTCTCCCTCCACCCGCTGCTCCAAACCATGTTTCAAACAACCAAGAGGCAGCTCGGGAAGCACCAGTGCAAGGTAACAGCCTGGTTAAACCGGTTGTAAAAGAGCAACAAGGTTTTTTCCCTGAGAATGAAATCCCCTTGGCCACCACAAAGGCAATATTTCCATGAGTGGTGACACAACCGGGCCTGTGCCTGCCTATCTGAATTCCCAGATTTTGAGACTAGTTGTTTCAAGTCTACATTTGCTGCTGAATGAGATCATGTGCATCAAAAAGAGGATTGTGTCTGTTCTCTGTGTAGCATTCCGAGTTTTCAAACACAGTGGACTTACTCAGAAGTTGTACTTTTGTACAGCTGCTTTGGGCTATTACTGCCTTATTTATTGTGCCAGTGGTCTGTGTAGCCAACTGCTCATGGAGCAGTTGTTCATCTTAAATAACTCACCAGGCAGGATATGAATCATTCCCAAATTTGCAGCATGAGCTAGAATGTTAACAGGTCAGGTTGCCMGCCAGGGCACCGAGTTCCACTCGTACCTGTGGCAGAAAAGTGCTCTGTGCTCCAAGTGGTTATAAGTAGGCTTATCTTTGACTACATGTAAATTGCAAAGCAAATGAGTGGCATTGCCCTGGTCTGGGGGTGTGTGGCTGGAATGGACCTTCCTGGCAGAGCTGGGAGCTGTGGGGAACTGGAAAATATTCCTGTGGTCTCCAGAGGCAAACCTGCCTGCAGTGCTGCTGTTCAGGCATTCTTTCCTCCCAGAAAGAGCCAGGGAGTGCTCTCTGCAGCAGGTGGCAGCAGATCAGCCCTTCCAAAGAAACGTGTGGAATTAAACAGGACCCCAGAGCAGCCCTAAGGGATCTTAGAGTACAGGAGAGTAATCCCGCATGGCAGCGAGGAAAAACAGGGAGGTCTGAGGATGGCGCCCTGACCACCAGGCACCTGGGTTTAGACATGTCATCAGAGTATCCCAAAAATGCTGATTTTCCTCCAGGAGACAGCTGTGAATGCCAGCTCTGCCTTTTCCACAGTYAGGCTGAAGCAAGGGCTGCCCAAGCATCCACACGTGGCGATGCAAAGGACCTGTCACCCAGGGGTGACACTGGGAGCCTGCTCAGCCACCAAAACTGTGCTGCAGTGTTAGAGCAGAGCATTAACTGTCTCTAACTYGGAGTGACATGTCCTGGTACCTGCTGATGGCTCCTCCCCTCTTCCTTTTCTCAGTGCTGCTCCCTCTTCTCTCGCTCCCCATTTGCAGCAGCCTTTTCCAGCCTCCATGTGCAGAGGTTTCCATCTCTCCCCCTGATGGTACTGCTGGCAGGGATGTGGGCACAAGGAGCTCTCCCTGTGCTCCTGGCAGCACTCTCACAGCCTGGGTTTTGTAGATACACGAATTTCAGATGTGATTCCCTCCTGGATGCTGTAGGTGGGACGTAGCCTGTGGCGCTGCTGYCCTGTGGCTGCAGGGAAAGCTCAGYCTGTGTCTGTGGGCAGACAGCAGCAAGCTGTGCGTGTTCTGCCTGTTCTTTGAACCAGAAAGGAGCCCTGCTGCACTCTGCCCCTCGGCTCTGTTTSTTACCTGAGACACTGGGATACTTTGATAAGGTCAGAGCTTTTTTGCAGGCTGGGGTCTGCCCACGATGTGCAGGATTACTGTGTTCCTCTGCCACCCTTCAAAGGCAGAAGACTACAAGTCCTCACTCTGCCTCCTCATGAATAATCTTCAAATATACATTTTTTTCCCCCCAGTCAAAGGCTTATGAGTCTCAAATCCCCTCACTCTCCCCCGAGGTCTCCTTTCTGAGCAGAGGCCCACGGCAATGCTGCCGAGGTGTTTGAAAGTGCGCCAGCTTTCCTGGCTGTGATACCCACTGCTGATCCCAGAGCTGTCACCAGAGGGCTTAGTGGCACAGCCTAAACGTTAAAAACAATTAAAAGTGCAAAGGTGTTTAGTGTTGGCACTGTGAAGTGCAGTGGCCGTGATCCCTGTTCCAAGCCTGTGCAACATGCTTTGCAAGGATGTGCTTTTGTCCGTGGAGCACCTCTTTCCCTCTTAACTGTGCTCCCAGAGGGCATTCCCARCCCTCCAGCACAGCTGCTCCAGTCCTGGGCTGCTCTTTGATCCGTACTTCACACCAGCAGTGTTTCATCCACAGCAGGCATGGAGCAGAGGGAAGAGGAAAGGCTTCAAACAGTGTCTGAAGAGCAACATCAGCGTCCTCCCCTTTGTCACCAGAGGAGGTCACAGGGTGGTAGCARTGGTGGGGCTGGGGATTATGCTAAAGGGGATCAGTGTCTTGTCAGGGCTCAGAAACTGCTTTTAGCTCAGTGGGTTGGGAGAAGGTCAAGTGTTGAAAAACAGAATGATGCTCYTTTCTGCAGAAACTCTCGCTGCAGMCTCCTTCTGTGGGAGGTGYTTGTGCTGCCCCTGCCCCATCCTTCCAGGGTACATATAAACCACCTCAGGACAGAGCTAAGACACAGATCAAGCCCAGCATTCCCAGCTTTAATATATTCCATTCTTTAAAGCAGCATGTTTTCCCCTTTGTAGCCTTGGGGCTTTGGTGTGCACAACCACAGTAACAAAGTGCCAGGTGCTGGGGTTTTGTTCACGCCTTTTAGTGCATGCCTGGATCCGAGGAGACGGGTGGAGTGTGAGGGGATGAGAGGATGCAGGAGTGAAGTGCAGTCCTGTCCCTGCACACTGCTGTGTTTGTCCATGGACTTGTTAGAATGGGGAGGGCCAGAGGAAAAAAAGATCAAACGCTCTTGCCTGCCTGCTTATAGATTTTTTTCCAAACTCCCTACACAGGAAAACCCTTTTTTACACGAAACCCTTCTGAGTTGAAAGGGAAGTTCATCCACACCAAGCTAAGGAAAAGCAGCAGGGGGTTTGGTTTCACCGTCGTTGGAGGGGATGAGCCAGATGAGTTCCTCCARATCAAAAGTTTGGTGCTTGACGGCCCTGCAGCGCTGGATGGCAAAATGGAAACAGGTACTGATGCTTTATATCAAAATCATCACCACCGCCTTGATTTGTGTTTTTGCAGCTKGTTTTATGTGCCATTCATAAAGGACTGCAGCCCCCATTCCCTTGCTGGGGAAAGGCATTCAGCTTTCCTATCAGCAAGTAGGGAAATGGAGTACCTGTGTTCAAAACCTTGGAAAAAGGCACCTCATGAGTTGAAATTTCWGCTCAGGTGTCAAAAGTCCCAGTTCCTGCTCTCCCTGTGCTGACCTGAGGAGAGGAGCCAGCAGTTGTGGGGTCCCATGTCAGGCTGTGGGTTCCTGCTCCCTGCTGTAGATGGTGGATTTTTGTAGGGCTGCACCACCTTGTGTTTGTGTCTCTGCTGTGCTGCTTGCCCCTTTCCAAAGCTACTCCCAAAGAACAGGCGGAGCAGTGGGCTAGTCTGCATTTCCCTGTGTGGAGGCACCAAGGGCCAATTAATTTTACCAGAAATCAGGCCCAGCACAATGGTTTGGCTCAATGATTTTGGAGGGTTTTTTCAACCTTGATTCTATGAAATCCTCCCAGGCTTCATCTAAGGTCACAGCTCCTCGCTTTCAGCTGGAGCATCACAGCACTTTAACATCCCTGCTTGTATCCCCGCTGTTAATAAAATGACTCATAACTTAATCAATACCTGGATTTCAGGCTGAAGGATGAGAGATGACATGTGGCACTGTGTTTGAGCAGTTGCTTTGGAGAGCTTTGTGTTCCACTCCCATGTGCTCTCAGTTTTGTTTCCATCATATGTCAGCATGTAACAGTCAGAGCTGGACTTCAGAACAGCTGTTAAACGGGCCATATAGCACCATTTGAATGCATTAATTTTTTTGCATGAGCCAGTTCCATTTTCACTTTCACAAACATTTATGTACATAAAGGCTTTATGCCGTGAATACACTGTGCACACAGAGGGTTTTTGCTCACCTAAGTGTCACCACTTGGTGAAATGCTGTTGTTGCCTGTGAGTGATAACTGTGGATGCTGCAGGTCTGCTCTCAGACCCTCACCCTTCCTGCAGTTCACAAAAAAAAAAAAAGTTTTCTTGCTCTGTCTGTGTGTGTCCTCTGCAGGGGACGTCATAGTCAGCGTGAACGACACCTGTGTGCTGGGGCACACTCACGCCCAGGTGGTGAAAATCTTCCAGTCCATCCCCATCGGTGCCAGCGTGGACCTCGAACTGTGCCGGGGCTACCCCCTGCCCTTCGACCCCGAYGACCCCAACACGAGCCTGGTCACTTCCGTGGCCATTTTGGACAAAGAGCCCATCATCGTGAACGGGCAGGAGAACTACGACTCCCCGGCGAGCCACAGCAGCAAAACGGGGAAGGTGAACGGCCCCAAGGAGGCGCGGCCCAGCAGCCCCACCGAGGTCTCCTCCAACGGCCCCCACGGCTACCCCAACGACACCGTGTCCTTGGCATCGTCCATCGCCACGCAGCCTGAACTCATAACTGTGCACATAGTCAAAGGGCCCATGGGCTTTGGGTTTACTATAGCAGACAGCCCCGGTGGGGGCGGCCAAAGAGTGAAACAAATTGTGGACAGCCCACGGTGCCGCGGCCTGAAGGAGGGAGACCTCATAGTGGAAGTCAACAAGAAGAATGTGCAGAGCCTCACTCACAACCAGGTGGTGGATATGCTGATTGAATGTCCTAAGGGAAGCGAAGTCACGTTGCTGGTGCAGCGAGGAGGTAAGGCTTCAAAACTGCTTGAAAACATCTCTTCTTGGAATTAAAAAAAAAAGGGAAAAATAGCGTGTCACAAAAGATCTGCTCTCCTCAGCTTCTGTGTAGGAATGGTTTTTGTCCTGAGGTGCAGCAACTGCCCCAAGTTGGCAGTTGTCAGGTCACATAGGTGGTTAAATTTRTTTAACCATCCTTTATTGTGTGTTGCTGCTCTGGGGGATGCTCAGGCTCCCACATGCACACACCACTGGCGAGGGCAGCAGGGCAATGTGGTTACACATGTGGTTACACCTTGGCTTACATAACAAACCCTGGCCTCTTGCTCAGAAAACTTGAGTGTTTTAAATAGAGCATGGACATTCCATGAGCTATTCTGGGATGTGGGAAAGGCTGGTAATATTATCTGTAATTTGCTATGTTCAAAATCAGATCCTTAATGACTCTTCATTGGGGAACGATTATACCTGGGGTACATTTGGGAGTGTAGAAGAGAATTTAAATTTCTCCGAGTTGTAAGCAACAGGAATTTTGACTTTTGCACATTTGTTTGCTGTGCCATTGGGAGCAGAGCTCATTTTTTGGTTGCATTGCTGAGGCCACCAGCAGGTCCAAAACCCATCGCACAGGCAGTGGGATGTCTGCACCCATGTGGAGCATGACTGAGGGTAACCTGTCCAGGCCATCCACAGGAGCTCTCTCCCTGCACACAGGAAGTRTAAAGGACCCCGAGGCAGCACCCTTTAACCTGTGGATTTAGATTACTGGATAGGGTCAAGCTCCCAGGAAAAGTCCAGGTGAGTTATTGAGTGCAAAGTCAAGAGCAGAGGGGTCAGCTCTCCCTCCCTCTGCCATTGGCAGTGGGGCTCTTAGAGGGACAAAGGACTGTCCCCACCTCGCTCCTGTCCCGTGCAGGTTTTTATGGACAACACATACATGGGTGCCCAGTGGATCACAGGGATGACCTCGCTGCAGAGGCAGAGCTAAGCTGAACACAGCCCCCAGCCAGCCCTGGGGGAGTGTGTGCTATAAAAGTACTTTTCTGCTGAYTTTTCTAAAGTGTTTTGATTGTAGTAGGTTAGCACCAAAAGCCAGTCCATTTTAACGAGGGACAAGTTGTTTCCTGAATTTACAAGTCAGGTTTGTTGTTTTCCAAGACCTATTTCAAGGCATTGAATTAATTGATTCTGCAATTAATAGCAGCTCTGGAGAAAGCATTGCCTTTCCTATACTCCTTCCTTTCCAAGTGCTTACTGTGTTTTTGTATTTTAAAAGTAAATTAGAAAGTGGAGAAGAGAACATATTGAGAATTCTCCAATTTTCAAAGTGTGAGTTCCTTAAAGACTTTCAGCACTGGAGASATTTAAAAAATGCACTTCATTCTCATGATTAATATATGTATTATGGAGAAAATATGGTTGGAAGAAAAATAGCAGCTATTATTAATCCTCCTGGAGAGTGCATATATATCTGGTAACACCGTACATTAATTATTTGAATTTTACCTGACATTTAATAATCCTCCTAATGCCTTGAAGGCATAATGAAAAGTTTTGATGAGGAAATAAAAGCCTAGTTTTAATAAAATAGTAAACAGTTCCCTGGTAATCTTGTTGAATCTCT